TGCAGCTTATCTATGTCCCTCTGTAACCTACAACATCCTTCCGCACTATTCACAACTCCACTGACTTTAGTGTCATCCGCAAATTTACTAACCCATCCTTCTACGCCCTCATCCAGGTCATTTATAAAAATGACAAACAGCAGTGGCCCCAAAACAGATCCTTGAGGTACACCACTAGTAACTGAACTCGAGGATGAACATTTCCCATCAACCACCACCCTCTGTCTTCTTACAGCTAGCCAATTTCTGATCCAAACCGCTAAATCACCCTCAATCCCATGCCTCCGTATTATGTAAATATATTAGCATTGTTTAAATATTTTGGTAATAATCTTTGCCTCTTGGCATTTTTTAATTTGTTTGTAATAAAGAGCTTCTATGTGTCTTACTTAAAGAACCTGATTGGTTTATCTGAAGTTGAACCCCAACATTCCTCCTTAACTACCAGACACATATTTCCGTCCCTTCCCTTGTCCGCCTTCCACAGGGACCGTTCCCTCTGGGACACCCTGGTCCACTCTTCCTTCACCCCCAACATCCCCCCTCCCCCCCACCCTACCACAGCACCTTCCCCTGCAACCGGTGAAAGTGCAACACTTGCCCATTTACCTCCTCCCTCCCCACTATCCAAGGGCCCAAATATACCTTCCAAGTGGAGCAACTCTTCACCTCTACTTCCCAGAATCTCGTCTACTGTATTCACTGCACACAATGTGGTCTCCTCTACATGAGGGAAACAAAATGTAGACTGGGTGACCAATTCATAGACCGTCTACGTTCTTCTTCCATAAAAGACTCTGAGCTACCGGTTGCCTGCCACTTTAACACACCACCCTGTTCCCTGGCCAACATCTCTGTCTCTGGCTTGCTGCAGTGTTCTACTGAAGCTCACTGCAAGCTGGAAGAACAACCTCATTTTCCGCTTGGGGACCCTGCAGCCCTCTGGACTCAATATCAAGTCAATAACTTTAGGGCCTAAACTCTCCCATGTCTTAGCCCCCCTACCCCAGACACCAGGCCTTGTTATCACATAGCCTGCCATTACACACTATTTAGGAGATAGTAGGAATTGCCGATGCTGGAGTCTGAGATAACAAGGCGTAGAGCTGGATGAACACAGCAGGCCAGGCAGCATCAGAGGAGCAGGAAAACTGACTTTTTGGGTCTGGACCCTTCTTCAAAAATGGGGGAGGGGAAGGAGGCTCTGAAATAAATAGAGAAAGGAGGAGGAGGCGATGATAGAAGGTGGATAGAGGAGCAGATAGGTGGAGAGAAGATGGATAAGTCAAGGAGGTGGGGATGGAGCCAGAAAAGGTGAGTGTAGGTAGGGAGTTGGAATGGGGGTTGGTCAGTGAGGAGGGAAGGGCAGGTAGGTGAGAGGGATGACAGACAGGTCAAGGAGGCGGGAATGAGGCTGGTAGGTAGGAAGTGGGGGTAGGGGTTGGTCAGTGAGGTGGGAGGAGCGGATGGTTGGGAGAAAAGATGGACAGGTCAAGGAGGCAGGGACGAGATGGGCTGGTCTTGGGATGAGGTCAGGGCTGGGGAGATTTTGAAGCTTGTAAAGTCCATATTGAGACCATTGGGCTGCAGGGCTCCCAAGCGGAATATGAGGTGCTGTTCCTCCAACCTTTGGGTGGCATCGTTGTAGCACTGGAGAAGGCCCAGGATGGACATGTCGTCCAAGGAGTGGGAGGGTGAGTTGAAATGGTTCGCGACTGGGAGGTGTTGTCATTTATCGCAAATCGAGCGTAGGTGTTCCACAAAGCGATCTCCGAGCCTCCACTTGGTTTCCCCAATGTAAAGGAGGCCACATCGGGAACAGCGGATATAAATACTACATTAGCAGATGTGCTGGTGAACATCTGTTTAATGTGGAAAGTTTTCTTGGGACCTGGGATGGGGGTGAGGGGGGAGGTGTAGGGGCAGGTGTAGCATTTCCTGCAGTTGCAGGGAAAAGTGCTAGGGGTGGTGGGGCTAGTGGGGAGTGTGAAGCGGATGAGGGAGTCACGGAGAGAGCAGACCCCTGGAAGGCAGATAAGGGTGGGGAGGGAAATATATCCTTTGTAGTGGGGTCAGATTGCAGGTGGTGGAAGTGGCAGAGAATGATGTGTTGTATCCGGAGGTTGATGGAGTGATACATGAGGACAAGGGGAATTCTGTCTTTGTTGTTATTGTGGGAAGGGGGTGTAATGGCTGAGGTGGGGGCAAAATGAGAGATGCGGTCGAGGACGTTTTCGACCACTATGGATGGGAAATTGCGGTCCTTGAAAAACAAAGACATCTGGGGTGTTTGGTGTGGAACGCTTCATCTTGGGAGCAGATGTAGGAGAGGCGAAGGAATTGGGAATAGGGGATGGCATTCTTGCAGGAAGGTGGGTGAGAGGAGGTGTATTCTAGGTAGCTGTGGGAGTCAGTGGGCTTGAAATAGATATCAGTTTCCAGGTGGTTACCAGGGATGGAGACAGAGAGGTCCAGGAAGGAGAGAAAGGTATCAGAGATGGTCCAGGTGAACTGAATGTTGGGGTGGAAGGTGTTAGTAAAGTGGATGAACTGTCTGAGCTCCTCGTAGGAGCATGAGGCGGTGCTGATATAGTCATCGATATAACGGAGGAAGAGGTGGGGGGTGAGGCCAGTGTTGCTGCGGAAGAGGGATTGTTCCACGTAACCTACAAAGAGAGGCAGGCATAGCTTGGGCCCATGCGGGTACACATGGCCACCCTTTTGTCTGTAGGAAGTGGGAGGAGTTCAAGGAGAAGTTGTTAAGGGTAAGGACAAGTTTGGTTAAGCGGGTAAGGGTGTCGGTGGAGGGGGACTGGTTGAGCCTGTGGGAGAGGAAGAAGCAGAGGGCTTTTAGGCCATCTGCATGGGGAATGCAGGGATTGGCTGTCCATCATGAAGATGAGGTGTAGGGGGCCAGGGAATCGAAGTTTTGGAGGAGGTGGAGGGCGTGGGTGGTGTCCCGGATGTAGGTGGGGAGTTCCTGGACCAGGGGGTAGAAAATGGAGTCGAGATAAGTGGAGATAAGTTCGGTCGGGCAGGAGCAGGCAGCAACAATGGGTCGACCAGAGCAGTCGGGTTTATGGATTTTGGAAAGGAGATAGAAGCGGAGGGTGCGGGGTTGGGGAGCAATGAGATTGGAGGCTGCGGGTGGGAGGTCACCTGAGGTGATGAGGTTGTGGATGGTTTGGGAGATTATGTTTTGGTGGTCAGGGGTGGGGTCATGATCAAGGGGGCGGTAGGAGGAGGTGTCAGAAAGTTGGCACCTGGCCTCAGTGATGTAGAGGTCCATACCACAACTGTCCTCCCTTGTCCGCACGTTTTATAGTGAGGTTAGGGTTGGAGCGGAGGGAGTGGGGGGCTGCACATACTGTGGGGGAGAGGTTGGAGTGGGTGAGAGGGGTGGAAAAGTTGAGGCGATTGATGTCACGATCGCAGTTGGAGATGAACAGGTCGAGGGAGGGTCGGAGGCCTTGGGTTGGTGTCCAGTAGGAGGGGGTGTGTTGGAGGCAGGAGAATGGGTCAGTAGAAGGGGGGTTAGGCTCACGATTAGAGAAGTAAGCGCGGAGGTGGAGGCGGCGGAAAAACTGTTCGATGTCCAGGCGTGAGTGGACCACACAACATCTATTGTTAGTCACTAACAGTCCCCATTAACAACTATTCACCCTCCCAGACAGATCATTTACTGGAGATAGTAGGAACTGCAGATGCTGGAGAATCCGAGACAACAAGGTGCAGGGCTGGATGAACACAGCAGGCCAAGCAGCATCATAGGAGCAGAGAGGCTGATGTTTCGGGCCTAGACCCTTCATCAGAAAAAGGATCATTTACTGGGGTGGCCCGGTGGCTCAGTGGTTTGCACTACTGCCTCACAGCACCAGGAACCCGAATTTGATTCCACCTTTAGGTGACTGTGTGTGTGGTGTTTGCACATTCTCCCCGTGTCTGCATGAGTTTCCTCCGGGTGCTCTGGTTTCCTCCCACAGTCCAAAGATGTGCAGGCTGGGTGGATTGGCCATGCTAAATTACCAGTTGTGTTCAGGGATGAATAGATTGGGGGAATGGGTCTGGGTGGGATTTCTCAGGATTGCACTTGTTGGGCTGAAGGGCTTGTTTCCACAGTTTAGGGATTCTATAAAACAAATTATCAACTCCTTTGTCTATCCAACTGCTCTTCTCTCTCTTCAGGCTCTATCCTATTATTTACTCTGTACCCCATCCCCTTACCTATTTTCTGCATATAAGCCGACTTTTTCCCAGCTACCATCAGTTCTGAGGAAGGTCACCAGACCTGAAACATTATTGTTCCTGATTTACAGCATCCCCAGTTATATCGGTTTTTATTCCTCCTTACCTGTATACCCTGCACTAGCTCATCTATATAGTGTTCACGTCTCGAGCCTCCTTCTACCTTTTCTTATCCAGCCCATTGCAAGCCTCCAGACCTGCTCCAGCCTTAGAACACATACCTGTCCCTACTACACAAATCCTGAATAAGTGCCCATGAGAGAGCCTCCCCAGTCAACCTGCTCAGCGATGTTGTAACAGGCGTAGAGAGGAGTTGGGATTTGAACCCAGCTCTGCTCGTCTGAGGGTATCAACATTGCCAGATACCACAGAAACTTATTTTATTGTTAGTTTACGAATTTAAAGGTGATCATTACAGGTTATTCGCGGGCGCTTTATCTGACCATTTTACCAATGTTTGAGTCTTACGTGGTCATGGAAGCATAGAGGCGTATATAGAGAGAAATTAAATATTTATAATCACAGGAAGGCGCATTCACAATCCAGGATAAATTTTGACTAGAGGCACTCTCTCAACAGTCTTACCTCTGACACTCAAATTCACAAACACTTCTGTTTTTGCATGTTATTGTGTGAACGTGTTTCTGTGTGTGTGTGTGTGTGAGAGCGTTATGTTTCTGTGCCAGTTTACAGGAATGCCCATGGGAGAGTCAGCATGTGAGTATCCCCATCAAATCCAAAATAGTCCCCACATTTTAGAAGCTGCAGTCATGATTGTCCTCTATCTTCACGCTCCCCCTGCTCTCGTATTGCACTGTATGCCAGCTGATGATGTTACCCCCGGCACTGTGACACCCTTGATTTAGTGCCTTGATGTTGTTTGCCGAAAGGACGTAGTCCCACAAGTGGACATCTGTCAACTCTCCCACGAAACTCTGCTTGCTGTCAAACTTGCCCCCGACCTGGTCCTGGTCCTTTTCCTGCCCCAGCATAAACGTGCCCCCACTACGGACCACCCCACCTTTGTTGCCGACTTTCCGAAGGCTCCGGACTCCATTGAGCCAGAAGGTGATGATTCCAGTTGGGGAGTCCCAGCTCACGCAGATGTGTCTCAGCAGAGCGTCGGTCTCCGGGAGGGCGAAATGGAATATATCGCTGCCAAAGTAGAGGGACAGCTTCGTGTTCTCGTTGTGCCAGAGGAGCAGCTCATTGTCCGTATTCGCTGTGGCATAGGATAACAAGCTGTAACCTCGCTTCGCCTCTGAGGCAGCCCTCAGGCAGAGAGTGAATGTCGAGAGCTGGGAGAAAAAAGACGGCGTTGAGTCTTCGGAAGGGAGGAGCGTGAGATGCAGAGACAAAGGGACAGGCAGAAGTGTGAAAAGGTCGGATCTTCCAGCCGCATCCTCCTCCCCACCGTTTCTCAATGGCTCACACACTCACACACCCTCAAGCTGACACAAACACACACCGTCAGGCGGTTGCACACAAACTCTAAGAATTAACACTTTGGAAACGATAATACACACAAGGACTAATCATAGCCATATAAAATATTTAAACTGGCGGGCAGAATGAAAATTAAAAGGAGGGATTGTTTCCTGTTCTGGGGTCATTGGACATTTGAATGTTTTATTTTTATTGTGATAGAGTGCTTTGTGCATTGAACACCACATTGACTCGAAGAGTCAGTCAGTTGTATAGCTGAGTCAGAATGAAAGAGGGAATGAGCTATGATGCAGTTTAACCACAACTATATGACCCACAAACGTGTGCCAGATGAAATTCATTTATTGGACATTGCACAATGGGCAGCAGATATTTAATACTGAACCTCCAACAGTCCCACAGCAGTCCCACAGAACTGACCCCCTGACAGTACTGCGCTCCCTCTGTACTGACCCTCTGACAGAGCGGCACTCTTTCAGCACTGACCCTCCAACAGTGCAGCCATCCTTCAGTACTGACCCTCTGATAGTGCTGAACATCAGGCTATGCAGCACTCCCTTGGTACTGACCCTGTGATGTTGCAGCATTCCCTCAGTAATAACCCTCTGAAATTGCAGTGCTCCCTCAGTACTGACCCTCTGACTGCACAAAACTTTGTCAGTACTGACTATCTAATGTGTGGTACTCCTTCATGTACTGAACCCCAATAGTGTGGCACTCCATCACACTGAACTCTGATAGTGCGGCACTCCCTCAG